TCCCCCCTCCCGCATGAGCCCTTGATAGTTTATAAATGGGTATTTTGTCATATCTTGCCCTGTCCGACGTCTCCCTTCATCCACTTTTCGGTTGTATGTCCCCCAGGGAGGAGGTCACACACAGTTCCATGTAATCGGTTCAGTCAGTTCATTCTTCTAGTGTGTTCCTGAATTTTTCTAATTTTTTTCCCTGCAATTTTCCTTGGTTTAGTCAACCTTTCAATACACTAAAATAATCTAAATACCACTCTTTTAAAGTCTTATCAGGTAGTTCCACTGCCATTTCGTCCTAAGGAAAATCTTCTGGCTCTGTATTTTGGTCACTTGTTTGAGCCAGTGTCCTGTTTCTTGGTGTGAACTGAAAAGGTCAGTTGTCTCCGACACATTGCAGTGGCGTCGTATTTATAGATAATCGATGATTACATGCTGGTGAGACCTTCAGCACTCACCGCTTGTCCCCTGGTGGCTATGGAAGAGAATATATGCACACATTTGCTTGCTGTTCATAGAGCACAGATGAAAGCAGTTTTGGCTGAGTTTGGCTCCTGTCTTATCTTGAATTACCATCTATCAATGATGGGGTAGTGTAGGAGTGGGAGGAGGGGGGGCGGGAGAGAGACCAGAAAAGCATTTGATAACAAAAAAGGAAAACAAATGAAGAGATAAAGAAAAAGTAATTAAAACTAGTAAAGGAGAAAACTGAATAGCACAGAAAAAAAAAAAAAGAAACATGGGGAAGAAAACTAAGAGAAACAGAAGAAAAAGAAAAGCAGAGAAAATAAAAGAATAAACAACAAAGCCACGAAAACAAGGAAAAGTGCAGAACCCAAAGAGAAGCTCATAGGGGGCTGGGGACCTAAGGGAGAAAGGAAGGGATGGGAAGCCTGGCTTAGATGGAGTTCCGGCTGGCCTAGCTGATGTTTGGGGTCAGAAAACTGATGCTGAATTAGCTGGTTCAGGCTCAGATGGTGGCTAAAGTCAGTGGGCTTGTTCTTGGAATGAAACTCTTTCAGGCCTAGAGGGTGGCAGCTGGGGCATGGCAGGTGGTTATGTAAGGAGTTCTTGTCTACTCAGGATGGGTGGTGACAGGCAGCTTGTCTGAGTTTTCTGCTGTCATGTTGAAGAGCATACGCATCTCCAGACGTGCAGGTGGTGGACCAGAAGCTTGACCTAGGATGGTGAGATCTCAGGCAGAGCAAAGGCTGTGCAAGGGAGGGTATGTGTAACCAGATTTTCAGTGGCTGAGGGTGGGAGCTGGCCCCCACTCTGGTCATCAGGAAGATGTGGGGAACAAGGAAGGACCTCATCTTTTATTGCTGTTAGCCACTGTTATGGGCATTCATGATGGTCCTGAACTAGCAGAGTTGAATATCAGAATGCTGAATGCCAGTTGCTTGCAAAAGTTCAAGGTGGGTGTTTTGCCAGGCCAACTGACAATTCATCCATCATTCTCTTCTAATTGGTTTTATTCAGCCTATTCTCCTAGTTAGTATTTAATCCACTTCTCCACCCTTTCCTTCGAAGCTTGCGAATATGTTTGTTTCATCTGTTCTCTCATATCTTTGTTGTAGAGGGTCTACATAGCATGTCTGCCTAGTTTGTCATCTTGCTCTAAGTCTCTGAAAGATGCTTTTGTCAATGGATTTGATGCAGTTCCTCTTGAATTAGTCATTCATGGCATGGTAGACTGTATGATTATCTAACTAAAAATGGCCAATATAAGTCCATTTCAGCTAAGGCCTAGGATTTTACTTTGGATAACTTTCAATTTTCCTAGATTCATATATTGTATATTCCATGACCCAGTTACTAATGGATGCTTTGTATCTGCTTCTTCTCATTGTGAGTCCTGTCACATGAGCAAATGGAAGTCCGTAAGGCCACTTCTACTTTGCAGAGGATGCAGCTCTTCCCTAGGCACATTTTGGAGTGCTTTCCCACCTCAGGGGGCTCCTTCAGCACTGTCTCTGACAATGTTCTACTGACATTCAGAAGGTTTTCACTGCCCAACTTTTCCAGGAGTAGACTGCCAGGTCCTTCTTCCCAGTTTTAAGCCTGGAAATATTGTTGAAATTTACCTATGGGTGACCTTCCTGGTAGCTGAAATATTGATAGCATAGCTTCCTGCATTGCGGCAACACACTAGTCACCCCCACAGACAAACTAATAGATGAGTTGGGCGAAAAATGTTATCATTATTAATCAGAGCACACACCACAAAGCATTATGCTCACTGTACACACTATTAAATCCACATTATTGAAATGGGTGAGGCTCTTGAGGGCAGAATGCAATTACTTACTTTTCTGTTTTCAACTTTCAGTGTCTGGACATTCAACAAATCATTACTTAATGAATGAATAAGTGTTAAAATAAATAAGATTAATTTTGCCAAACTCTTGAGATTTCTTAGAATAAATTCTTGTTTGTTTAGGGGAAAGTATTCATTTTTCAAATTGTCTAAACACATGACAAAAAGCACACATTTTATAATGAGGGGCTAATACATGGATATCAACAATACTCAAGATTATCTGTGAGCTTCGCCCAATTCCATTCAACAGTCAAATGCACTGTGTCTCAGTAGTAAGACTGCCATTGAGGTTGGGAACTGCAGGCCAGTTAGAACGAGGTTGAGGAGCATGGGGAACTAAGCCTGAGGCATTAGAAGGCTAAGATAGTGAGACACACTACACAGTGGGTGGTAGTTGATAAGTTACCATTCTGGAAGTGATTCACAGGTTCAAAGAGCAGGTCTAAGAATATCTGGATCTCTTCGGGCTGGGTCCCAGCGAGGAACCTCAGAACAATGGACATACGGGTGCCTGAAGCGGATTTCCCCTGAGTTTTAGTCCCAGTTTTGTTCTTCATTCGACCATACAAAATCCTACATGGGCAGACAAATATTATGTTTTTACACATTAATTCTATAACACAGTATTAGGTCTTTTGTTTTTCTAAAAGGTAAGAACTGAAGAAATATAAAATGGATTTATTAGCAACCAGGAGGAATGAAATTAGAAATTAAATATTTAAATTCCAGGTTCAGGAAAATATCAGTAAGAAGTGAAAAAAGAAAGGTAAAGGAAGCAGGAGAAAGAAAAAGTACAAACAAAGGCTTGAAATCAATATCCTGTGGGGGAAAGTCATGGTTTTCTTAAAGCCAGAGGTGGTGCTTGGTGCAAGAAAAATACCAGTAAAACATGCAGGCCAAAGGAAGTCTAACCAAGGGAAAAGGAAAATATGAGCATAAAGATTTAAATAACATGAAATTAGAAAATACAAGTATAGGCAGAAAAAAAATAGAGCAAGTAAAAGCAAAACAATAAAAGTTTGCAATTAAATGAGGGATTTTCTAGGAAGTACAAATATAAAACTAGAAGTAGAACTTAAAAAGAAAACCTGAGTACACCAGTAATGGAAAAATCATGAAAACCTAAAAGACTTTTACAGATTTTTTAAAACTTTAGGGAATTTTTAAAGCTTTCATGGAAAACATAATTTCCACGTTATAAAGTTTTGTAGTTTGGAGAAAATAACTGTTCCTTTTCATTTACAAAGCTGGCATTATCATGATACTAAAACAAATCAATGATAAAAATAATGCTCTTAATTTTGCTTATGAAACATAGCAGTGTATTGAAACAACATTAAAACCATTAAAGGTTATTACAGAAATGCAAGGAAGATTTATTAGTAAAATCTATTACATTAATGTAGATCAATGGTCACAGACAAGAGGATAACTTATGGATCATTTGCGTGTTCTATCATTTATAGTAAAGAATGTAATATTAAACAACATGATATTTAGAAACTGGATTAAATTATTTTACTATTACTGAAGAGGGGCACAAAGAGAAATTTTCAATTTAATTATGATTATTATTAAAACCATGGAAAGACGTTTCTATGTGTTAGCAACAAAAACTCTAAATAAGAATAAAAAAATGCAAAACGAAATATTCTTAAAGAATTGTAATTCTACATTCTCAACTGTTTTTTAAAACAAGTACTTTTAAATGATACAAATACCTCATCAGAATAGGAAACAGATCTGCTCGATGAGCTGCTTTCACTACTGAATTATCTTCTGAAATGCTGAAATGTACTATTTCTTCCTTAAAGCTTCTGTCTTCAAGCAATCTTTGCAAATTTTCCCTTTATAAACAGAATAAAACATAAATCATAATTTAAGAATTAACAGCGCTTGAAAAAAAAATACGTCAAGAATAGACTATGCTTAAAAAGGTAGTTTGTAGGTTTCCAAACTTACTTGGCTTAAAAAAGATTACTTCGCACTGCCCTAGCAATGACAAGTTTTTATAATATAGCCCAGGAGCCTGGTTAAACCTATTTTTTTAGCACCCTTGGGTTAGTCCAACGCCATCTCCCAGGGACTAGTCCCTATAGTGGTTGACATTGGTAAAGAAAAATGCTCACAAAATGTTTTTTAAAATGACAGGCTTTCCAACTTTATAAGGCCAAAGAGGCTATGAGGGATTAGTCTAAGTCAACACTTCAGCTACTTAAAAAGTGTTTACAAGAGCTTTCTTCAGTTCTTAAGAGTGTGATTATGATTCCCTAAGTAACTAAAATGGTATGTTTTTTATTAAAAGGAGCATAAAATAATATAACCTCGACAATGTTTTTCATCTAGTGTTATCTTTTCTACTTTATTATCTATAGAGAACCAGTTATAATAAATAAGTATACTTCTAGTTTTCATTTATTTTCTGGAAGTAATTAGGGTTACCTTAGGAAGGATTTAAATTTCCTAGACCTTCAAAAATGCATTTTAGGAGGGCCTTTCAGGTGGTAAGATAAAAACTAGTCCAAGAAATATCATTGCTTCAAATAGCTTACCTGTAAGGGAGGATATGCGGGTGCTTATATGTCATTATGCAATCCAGAGTGATCTTTTGGACCGTTTGATCTTGGTGTAGCAACAACTAAGAATGACAGTATATAGACAAATTAATGCAGTCAGATACATATGTAGGATGGCATAGTGAATTACTCTTGCTCACATGCTAAATTAGATTTCCTCAAATCTATGGGCCTGCACCTGACAACACCCTTCTGTTTCCCAGGTGTGATAGGAGGATGACTACAATAGACACAAATAGACAAGTCAAGGGAAAACTCTTGATGCCTGTACTGCACAGGCCAGACCCGCTGGCCTCACCAGCCTTCTGGCCACAGCCAAATCTCCACGTGGATGTGGATGTGAACCCCTGAGCTCTTCCAATATGGTGAAGGCATCAAACAGCCAATAACATGCCAGGAAAGAAGACTTAGTTGAGAGACCTCGCAGGACTTTTGTGTTCTGGCTTTATAGACAATGTATATAACCAAGTTATTAGCAGAACACAGACAAATTCTGCTGAAATAATAGAAGTTTATTCTCAAGACCACCCAACAGAAAATGAAAATTTTATCCACCTAGGTGGTTTTGAATGCTATCCGATATCTACTCTGTTCCTGACATTACATTATTTCTACAATCTTTTCTGGAATTTAAGGTCACACACTGCCTGCAACAGATTCTCATTATGATTCTGCTTCCATTCAACTTAATTTAGGTCTTGGAATCCTACACACACCATGATGGTAGATTGAACTAGGAAGGAAGGAAGCTCTCTCACTGCCATCAAGTTGATGCCGACTTACAGTGGGGACCCTGTAGGACAGGGGAGAACTGCTCCTGTAAGTTTCTAAGAATGTAACTGTTTATGGATGTAAAAAGCCCCTTCTTTCTCCCAGGGAGTAGCTGGTGGTTTCAAACTGCTGACCTTGCAGTCCGTAGCCCAATGAGAAACCACTACACCTACAGAGCTCCCTTCCCTTCGAGAAGGTTGATATAATTAATGCTTTGCTATACAGGAAATCCCTGACTTACGATGTCTTTGAGTTATGACAAAATGCACTTAACAACTATCTGGCTTTTTTTGTTTTTTTAAATACCAAATCATTAGTAATATACACCACAAACCAAGTTGTAGTGTGTAATTTGCTAATGTTAGCATTCTAGGATGTTCAGCAACAGATGCTCAATGTTATGATTTATTATTCAAAATACTGCTGTGGCCTGATCTACAATGAAGCAGGTGTTGGGAGTCATTATAAGAGTGGGCAATTTTAATAACATATGGTAACTGAGCTGTTATGACTCTGACTTGTTACCACACAAACACCGACTTCCTTGTAGACCATGTCTACCAATACAAAACTCACTACTGTTAAGTCCACTCTGATTCATAGGGACCCTATGGGGGAGAGTGTAAGTGATCCTGTGAGTTTCCAAGGCTGGAACTCTAAGGGAGCAGAAAACCTCATCATTTTCCCATGCAATGGGTTGGTGGGTTTGAATTGCTGACCTTGTGGTTAGCAGCCCAACGTGTAATCTATTGTACCACCAGGGCTCCCTACTAGAACTACAGTGTGCTCTCATTCAGCATTGAGTACCATCACACGTATCAGTTGTTCATTTGAAGCGGAGTTGTTTAGGTTTACCTAACTATAACCCTTGCATGGCTTTGTGCATTTTTAAGTGCATGTATGTATTACAACACATCTAGGCTTCTATGTAAAGTTTCTAACCTCCAAAGAAAAACAAAGATCAGATTTATAAAGATATTGATAATACCCAAACCAAACTCACTGCCATCAGGTCGATTACCACTCATAGTGACCCTAGAGGTCAGAGCAGAAGTGCTCTTGTGGGTTTCTGAGATCATAACTGGGGGACAGGGGTAGAAAGAGGAGCGATTGGTGGTTTCTAACTGCTGGCTTTTGCGGTTAGCAGCCCAACAAGTAACCAGCATGCCACCAAGGCTCCTGTAGATGGAAAATAAAAGGCAAGGATAATGGAAACTTAAAGAAAACAAAATGAGGCCTGACTTACATCAGAACTGACTTACGACGGTGTTGTCAAGGTGGGGATGAGCTGTACTTACATTCTAAAGGGCTGCTGTGAGTTGGAAACAACCTGACGTCAATGGGACACTTACTGTTAATGGAGTCAACCAATGCGTAGTCACCCAGAATACTTTTTTCTTTTTTAATCATTTTATTGGGGACTCGTTCAATTTTTATCCCAAGCCATACATCCATCTGAGTCAAGCACATTTGTACATTTGCTGCCATCATCATTCTCAAAACATTTTCTTACTACTTGAGCCCTTGGTATCAGCTCATTTTCCCCCCTCCCTCCCTCATTAACTCTCAATAATTATAAATTATTATTTTTCCATGTCAAAATACTTTTTAAATCAATGAAAATAGTGCTGCCTAAAACCGTTTTCCATACTAATGTGTCATATGTCTGTTACTAAAAGAAATGTTAGTACCTTAAAATGTACACATGGGCCCTCTATTACAATTAGTTGACGCCATGAACTCAATGAACTGAGATATCTAACAAGTTACCGTGACAAAGAAAATGACAGAAAAGTTCACGAAGAATTGTCGTGCCAAGAATGTGTTTACTTACCTGAAGATACAGCTCATATAATTTGGATTCCAGATACAAGGCCCGTGGATTTGAAAACTTAGCAAAAACTTGTAAGTGAGCAATTAACTGCCTAAATAAAAATAAAACACAAAGACACTGTTACAGAATGAAAGAACAGAGGTTATTTTCACAAGATGAAATGATGTACCAATTTTAATCTTTCTGACAAGTAATCCAAACACCTTCACCATGGCTCGATGTCTAGCTAGCCTAACAAGTTTTAATTATTTGAAATTAGGCAGTTATTCAGCAGAATGGCAAATGTTGGCATGCCTCTGCCTGAAATCCGGACTCCCCACCTCCAGAGAAACCTCTCAGGATGTGCTTTAGTTTACAATAAACCAAAAGTAGAGAGTAATCAAAACAGCAAAACACACCCACTGCCACTGAGTTGAGTCCTATGTATAGCGACCTGATATAAGGTTTCTGGGGCTATAAATCTTTATGGGAACAGAGGGCGTCAACTTTCTCCTGGGGAGCAGCTGGTGGTTTTGAACCACTGACCTTGCAGTTAGCAGCCCAAAGCTTACATTCCAAAAGGAAATGCAGATGACTTTTGAAAACATCCCTGGTCTGGGTTCTCTGAAAACAGGCAGAAAGGTGGTTGGACAGGTTTGCCCTGGCCTTTGCCACACAGACACGTCAGACAACAGAGGTCCAAGTTTGGGTTTGTGGCTCTTGCTATAAGCACAACAGCGAGAGAGCTGTGCGCCTTAATTCAGAGTGGACTGTGAAGACAGCAATGCCTCAAGGGCCATTCCCTTTCTACTAAACAGACTGAGGAGAGAGTTTCGACGGCAGCTACTCACATGACTTCAAAATCCAGACTCTTTCAGGCTTAAATACTTTGGGAAACTGGTTTTCTATCTGTGTGTAATCTGTAAGATGTATTTGAACTTGCAAAAACCCTCTGAATTGATAAATTCTTTTGATTTGGAGAGAGTGTTTACTGTTTCAAGGGGAGGGGAGGGGAGAAGAGAAGTAGAGACCAGGCTGTACAGCATGACCGTCATTCTCAACTGTGTGACTCAGGACAGTTATTAAAAGTCAGGTCCCAGGTATTCAGTTTCCTCATTTGATGAAAGTGAGATCTTTGAGCTTTGCTGTGAGGATTTAATGAGAGAATCCATGTTGTGACGGCTCTGCTTCTCAGAGTTTAGCTCTGCTCTTAATAAAAATAGAGCAATTACGTGAAATTCTTGCTAGTTAATGCAGAGAAATTAAGCTGGAAAACATGACATCTTTAGAGACCACAGAAACAGGACGGTAAAGAGAGGAGTACTTTAAATTATCTACCTGAAATATCTCTGGCAAGTAGATATCAAAGAACCCTGCAGTTTTACCAGTAAACTTAAATTTTTTTCTGTCCAAACCTCTTCACCTTTCTTCAACATCTCTTAAAGGGCCTCTGTGTGCTACAGAGGAGCCTCAGGGGTGCGTGGTGAAGTGACTGGCGGCTAACTGAACACTTGGCAGTTTGAACCCCGCTGGCGGGCTGCTTGCAGCAAGATGACAGCCTGGAGAGCCCTGGGCGAGGAAAGCTCTTCTCTGTCACTGGGAGCTGGGATCGACTCTGCAGCACTGGGTTGGGGCTTGGAGGGATACATGACTTCTAAAGAACCACAGAGTACAGGAGCTAATTTGTCCACTCTTGGTAAATATTTGCCTGTTCCAAAAAGGATTACATACTTTGCCTTACTGAGACATGTGTGATGATTATCAGCATACTCACAGTTTCAGTGAGAGCGCATTGCAGCGCTACTCTAGGGCAGAGAGATAAAGACCCGGGCATTATAAGTAATCTCCAAGGCAAGGAGCAGGGTCAGGATACAGGTACGGCTATTAGAAAGGTTGGGGAAGACAACTTCTACTTAAGGGAAAGGAATGCTTCGCTGAAGCAGCAGGGCTGAAATGATGTCTCAAAAAATGTAGAAAATTTCGCCTGGCACAGATGAGGCATGGCCACTGCACACATAGAGAGGCGCATGAGCAAAGGTCCAGAGGTGGGAAAGTAAGAGGGGCGAGAGGCTAACTGGCTTATTCATTGATTCGATAAACATGTACTGAGGGGTAATCTTTGCCCTGGAATTACACTGGAAGATATCTAGAAGAAAAAATCCACAACTCCGCCTGGGGGAAAGTAGTAGGGGACAAAATGCTGAGCTGTGAGAAGATAAAGACAGAGAAAGGGATCACCAATTCATGAAACGTGGTCCGGAGCTTTCTTGTCCTTGTTCTTCAGACACTATTTCCGTGAGCTGGCAAACCCTCTCTACCCCACTGCCCAACTAACTCTCATTCTTCCGCTTCAAAGGTACCCTCCACCCGAGTCTTGTTGGTGGAGTTCAGTATTCCCCTACCCTGCTCGCCCTGTGCACTCTTTGTTGTCGTTAGTGCTGTTGAGTCAATGCCAACCCATGGAGGTCTTGGAGAGAGCAGAAAACACTGCCTGGTCCTGTGCCATCTTGTCTGCCCACTGTTTCTGCCTCTATGTCAATCCATGCAGTCCCATGACTCCTTTAAAAATCTCTCTCACAGCACAGTGTGCACAATTCCTCTTTGTGGCCCCAGCAGATGTGGAGGTACTCGGTCCAGTTGTGGAATGGATGAGCGAGTAAATGGCTTATTGAAAGCACTTCCGAAATTGGCAGAACACATCGTGATCTAAAGTGTTAAAATAACACATCATCATCAAGCCACAGATGTTTGAGACCTCCAGACAGACACCCTTTAAGTAAGTTAATGTAAAGTATGAAGGCTTGATTGCTTTTTTTTTTAAGGTTTCTAACGATATAGGCAAATGAATAACCCAGGAAAGAGTAAACAGGAGACAAGCCAAAAGGCACAAGAGAAGTGCTGACACGCTCATTTATATGAGAAGAGATGTTCCATTATGTGTTTCCAAGCACACACCCTAACACCCCAGGGCTATGAAAGTCACTGACAAAGTTCACAAAGGCCACTGAAGCACTCCAGGGCCTCAGCGTCCCTGCAACTCTGACACTTGGTAGCTAATCTGTGAATGGGGTGGAGTGGGGGTAAGAAAGTCAGTAACAAGCAAGCAATGCAATTACTCAGAAGACGGGTCATTCTTTGGAGAGCCAAAGAAAGCCCTAGGAGACACAGAGTTGCAGCTCTTACTGTAAATAATCATCGGAGTTGTTCACCCGACGAAAGGCTCTCTCACGTGGATGCCATAAGACATCTCTCTGCTCCTTCTAGAAACAATGGAGCCCACAGATGCTGACCGCTGTTGAACTTACTTGGCAGCAGCTCGTCTTGTCTTCTTTCTCTGCACAGGCTCATCTTGGGGGACCTCTTCTTCTGATTCCTCATCATCTCTGGCAGTTGGCTCCTCTTCTGTGTCCTCTGCCCCTCCTCTCTTGCCTTTTTTTTGCAGATCTTGGGCTGGAGCAACTTGCAGATCTGCTGGATAGTACTCATTGCTGCAGTGAAAGAGGGATATGAGGCAGGGTGAGTATTAACTTGCAACGTCCTGGTTCTGTTTATGAGCTAGAGGCTCACAGATTCACGCGCTGCAGAGGCAGCAGAAGCACTGGAGTCAAGCCTCTTAGAGAACACTGTTCTCTCTTATTTGGCCCATTCTGACAAATTACTCACTCAGCCAACTGCAGAGGATACCTCATATGAAAATATATTTTAAAAATGTCTATTTTCAACTGAGTTGAAATCAGCCTCCCTGACTCTGAAGCTATACCCGAGGATGGGTTGGATTAAGTGCTTTACAGGCAGTCCTCAGTTTACGAATGTCCAGGTTACGGACAACTCCTATTTGTCTTTTAATATGTAAACATGCCCTCACTTTGAAATGCCTGAACCAACCCTTATAACCAATGCCAATGAGTAGATTCCAACTCATAATGACCTTTTTTAGAGTTTCCGAGGCTATAAATCTTTTATGGGAGCAGTCTTATCTTTCTCTACGGAGCACTGGTGGGTTTGAACCATTGACTTTGTGGTTAGCTGTCCAATATTTACCTGAGAGTGCCACTACAGCTCCTTGAACCAGCCCCTCCTTGCAATACATTCTCCATCAAAATCACCTTCATTTGTTGCATGTGCCATTGCAAATCATTGACAAGCCACCCCCACCACACCCTTTTTACATTAAAATAAAGCTAAGAACTGCATGCACTTGTTCTGACTCACCTACAAATTACTCTTAGACTTAAAGACTCAGGAACAGATTTCGTCTGTAACACGAGGAGTGCCTACAGAGCATTAGGACCATGCTAGTGACTTTCCACCAGCTATATTCTACTTTGCTGTTCAAAAAAGCATAGCACAACCACTAAATTCAAGGCTTAGATATAGTCTGAGAAGGCAGATGGGGACTACCAATTCCATCAATTTCAAGGGCAGCTACAATGTGGCACAGACTCAAACTCTCCGTCATCTACATTTTGTCCGTCCTAAATGCAGTTCCTTTGAACTAGCACGTACTAGTCACATTACATTTAACCTCTTAAGTCTGGCCCATCAGTGTGGTTAAACTGGTATTATCTCAAACATGTGTTGGTTTGGGATCGCTCTTACTCATTGATTCAGTAGTTATTAATTTGATGTATACTGTATGGCTAGACACCAAGCTAGAAATGTGAGGAAGGTGATCAAGCAGACTTTAATGTCCCCAACTCAAAGACACGGATAAAAAAATGTGTGTGTGAGGATAACACCCTAGCAGTACACCCGAAAGAACTCCAGGTTAATAACCCTAAACTATAATTTGATAGCTGGGATGCTACCATATTTAACTTTGTATTCGCACCAAGAAGGCTATGAATGAATGAATGAATGAATGAATGAAATAGGCTAAGTTAGTTAATCTGCAAGCTACAGTCTGTGCCATTACCCAGCCAATCACATGTTCAACGCTCAAATAACCCCATTGGATATTTTCAGCCTCCATCTCCATGCACACCACGGCCGTTCACTCATTCGTTAAATGACATCATCTTGTAAAGGACTTACATGAGTAGCAGGTACAAAGCAGGCACTCACTGAGTTTCACCAATGGTTGGGATGCTATTGCCATGGTTAAGTCTTATTCTTTGGATCACATTTAAAAGCATTAGTTATAGGTAACCAAGGCCAAGTAGTTTTAAAGTATGTAGCCTTAGGTAGTCTTGAAGTCTTAAATTCAGGGCCCACTTCCTATTACAGGCTCCTTTCTCCATGCCTACTCCCATAGCATCATGTACTACACAGAAGGATTCTTATCCTTAGGCTAAGAGGTAATTAAGTTAATTTTTGCAAGAAAACTAGGAAAATGAGCATGGTAGTACTAGCGTGCAATTGTATAGTCTGCAATTCATAAAACAGCAGATATGCATTCTCTGACTTGCTCTTCAAATTAGGCAGAGAAGCCAAAAACCACTGTTTTCATTCTATAAATAAATTCTAGCCAAAAGCACTCAGGAAGGAAGAGACACATATTACTCTTCTACGACCTTATCTATCAACCTGGCAGCGCCTTCACTTGTAACCTCTGCATAGATGAATTATTCCTATGAACATTTTTCATGTACACACTGAGCTTTATCTCCTCTCAGCTACTCAAAGGCACGCGCCTGGCAATTTCACCCCTTTCCCCTTGCATCACGAATTCCCCCCCAAGTGCCTGGTGTCTGTGAAGGTTACTGACATCTTAAAACAAACAGCAACAGCAAAACCCTCTAGCAACAATAGTTCCTGTTGTGCCCCAACATACCCTTTCACCTATTAATCTTTTTCTGTTTGTTTTTTTTCAGCAAGAACTAACCACCCTTGCTGTTTCTATTCCTTCTTCATTTCCTTGGGTCATTTGAAAAGGCTTTCCTCTCTACCAGATTTATCAAGATGACTCTTGTGAAGGTCACACCCATGTTTCCAAAGCCAACAGTTCTTACTCTACATCTTACATGACTTCTCAGTTTATGTTTGACTTAATGGATTCCTTCTTTGAAATAATCTCTTCCCTTGACTTCTGGAACTACAAATGGTTCTTGGTTCCTGTACTATCACTCTGATCTCTGCTTCCTGGACTTAGTTGGTTACACATCTCCCAACTGAATATTGGGCCAGCCCTTCGAAGTCCTTTCTTATCCCAGGTGACCTCATTTCTGCGTCATGACTTTAAATATGTATTTAAATATCATAGTATCCATATTATGCTGGTGATCCCCAAATGTATTATGTCCTGGCCAGACCTCTCCCTTAAACTCTAAACTCTTAAATCCAACTGCCCAGTGGACATCTTATTTGAGTATCTCTCAGTATCCCAAATTTAACATATCTAAAAAATGCATTTTTGACCTTGCTTCACAAACTAAGAACCCCTGCATCCCTCCCTCAGTCTCAGGTCCAAACCTTAGACAGTCTCAATTCCCACGTCCACACCATTGCCTGCTAATATCTAATCTGTCAGGAAATCCCAAAGACTAACCTATCAGACATTCCTAAAATTGACATAATTGAAATCCTTCAAAACATACACAGAATTTAAGCACCTCTTACCTTTACTACTGCAGTCTCGATTAATCTGCCACAATCCTTTATTGTCTGGACGTTTGCAGTATCCAGCTAACCTCTTTGCAATCTTTCCCCAATTTCCTCTTTAAGTGGCTTTCACCACTGCCATCCTGCAGTCTGGTCTCAACAAAGCAGCTGGGACAAACCTTCAGAACACCTGTTGTGTTAAGTCAATTCCAACTCACAGGGGCCCCGTGTGACAGAGAAGTGCCTCACAGGGCTTCTAGGCCGTAATCTCCAGAGGAATGGAGGCCAGACCCTTTTCGTGAGGAGCCACTGGGTGGATGCAAACTGCCAGCCTTCGGGGTGCTCCGGAGTGCCTAACCATGGTGTCAGCCGGGCTTTTTCAGAAAACTTAAGTCATTTCATCCTTCTGCTCAAACTTCCCAGTGCCATCCCATCTCACTAAGAAAAAAAGCCAACAACCTGCTGCCACTTAAAGGCCCTCCACAATTTGGTCTCCTGATACTTCATGACCATATCTCCAACTACTTTGCCCTGGGATTACTTTGTGATAGCTACTCAGACCTCCTTGCTTTTCCTTGTACAAGCCAGACATGTTGCGGTGCGATCAATTTAGCCTGCTGAAGTTGATGCTATAGCATTTTCCCATGTAAAGAAAGATTATTGGCATTCATACTTTTAATTGGCTATGTAATGTTCTACATACCACATGCCTCATCTTTATAGAGTTAAAACAATCCGACTCTCACACAGCATATCCAACTGGAACAAAACCATGCTTTCAAAAGCTTACTATGCTTTAGGAATGCTTTCCTCGTCATGAGAAACGCCAGGAGGAACAAAACAGTGGAATGTGTCTTTCTGTAGCAGGTAAAAGGTTACTGGGCCTGGTTGGGTCACTGGGAAAAAAATCTTTGTAAGCTCCCAGCGCTCAATGGAACAATGAACAATAGGGGAAGAATTAACAAGGCCTCTGTCCACTGATGTAGCTTAATACGGCCTTTCTTATTTTATAACCGGGAAGCTTTCATGAACACCATTTATAGACTGGATAAATCGGGCTTCGTGTAAAATTAAGTGGCGTACAAAACCAGAGGCCTTTTGATCAGATAGAGTCACCCGGCTTTACAGCTGTGCGATGATTGGAAAACGCAGCAGACGTGTAAGAAGAATCCAGCCAATTTGGAAGGTTAATCGTTTTTACCGTCTCTTCTTCAGCCTACGTCAAGGACACAGTCTTAGAGCAGAGGACACTTACTTGATAAATCTCAAGAAAAGTGGGGAAAGCTCCCTGGACCGTGGCTCCACTCTCTCAGGGAATTTTGCCAGAGCTCGCCAGAGCAAAAAGCGGAAGTTAGTGTGGTCCAGTCTGTCCCGGCAGTCAGTTTTCAATGCTAACTGCTCATGATAGAGAGCTCCCACATCTCCTTCCTGGGTCTGCTCCCAACGCCCGTCTCCAGTCGATTGCTCTTCATTTTGTTCATCGCTCTGCAGCTCTTTCTCTGCAAGATAAAAATCATTGTAATGACAAAAGTTTCCAAAGTTTGTCCTGGTGCTTCTTCAAAGGAAGGCATTTCTTTCTCCAGTCCTACCAGGGAACAAGTAAGAAACTACATCCCCACACTATGAAAAATAACACACTTCTCATTTGGGCTTCCCAATTTCATACGTAATTAAAGCAGTAAAAACGAGACATTTAAGCAACCGCCTCTCTTCCCAGCCTTCAAATATCACCTCACATACCAGCACGTGCAGCTGCTTTCTCAAGATGTTCATAGTAGACTTTCCAGAACTGCTTATTTTCCATTTCATGTGCATGAGAACTAAGGGAGAAAATAAGTAAAATTTTAACATGGCATGATTAAAAAATATTTTTAATCATTTTATTGGGGGCTCTTACAGCTCTTATCATAATTCATATATACATCCACTGTGTCAAGCACATTTGTACACTTGTTGCCATCATCATTCTCAAAACATTTCCTTTCTACTTGAGCCCTTGGTATCGCTCATTTCCCCCCCTCACTCCCTCATGAACCCTTGATAATTTATAATTTGTTTCTTCTTCATGTCTTACATTGACCACTGTCTCCCTTCACCCACTTTTCTTTGTCTGTCCTACTGGGAGGTGGTTATATGTTGATCACTGTGATTGGTTCTCCCTCCCTCCACACTCCCCTTACCCTCCCGGTATTGTCACTCTCATTATTGGTCCTGAGGTGTTTATATGTCCTGGATTCCCTGTGTTTGCGAGCTCTTATCTGTACTAGTGTACATGCTTTGGTCTGGTCGGATTTGTAAGGTAGATTTGGGGTCTTGATAGTGGGGGGTAAAGAAGCATTAAAGAACGAGAGGAAAGTTGTATGTTTCATCATTGCTACACTGCATCCTGACTGGCTCATCTCCTCCCCGCGAACCTTCTGTAAGGGGATGTCCAGTTGCCTACAGATGGGCTTTGGGTCCCCAATGTGCACTCCCCCTCATTCACAGTGATATGATTTTTTGTTCTTTGATGCCTGAGAAGTATCAGTTCCTTTAAGGCAAGTTTTAATATACTGGTTTACCTCTCACCTCATGGTTATACTATTTATCATAAACAAAAGGCAAAATAATGATTAACAACATGACACCTGACTTTCAAAACTTAGAGATGTGAGATGAATTATTTGAAATATTTATATAATTTGATATAATGGCACCGATTTCATATCAAAATTTTGATGGGGGGCATCATTTTCTAAGAATATGCATAAAACTTATAAACCATGAACTCTAGATAGTGGGTTACACACATGGAAAATAGGTCAACACGCAAACACAAACAGAGCAGGAGCCTAGGCAGGCATGGTGAATCACAGGAAGTGTCCTTCACTTGAACACCATTTCTTGATAGAGGCTCTTGGTAATGGACGTGCCGCTGCCTTTCATCTTCAGAGACGCATAATATAAAAACACGAAGCTGTTGTTGGCGGCTTCCAGCATGCAGGCTCGGTGGCTTTTGAAGGGCAGGACAAGGGAGACAAATGGTTCCAGGTGGGAAAGAGATTTGGTTTATGTTAAATAAGAACTACCAGTCAGGGTGTTAAAAGGCCCTATCTGCCACATTTCCAACTTGACATAAAGTTATCTGCAGAAATATGTCCACAAAAGGGCAGATTCCTACACTTGAGCCACAACCTATGCAGGGGCTTCAACAATTCATGGGAAAGTGGGATTAAAATATACTGGACTTTTCCATGAACGTAAAAAATCCCCCTTTTTTGTGCTTTCTATGTGACTATTAAGCTCCTTTTTAGAGCTAAGGGACTTTTAATTGGCAAGGGTTCTGCAGATCATATTTTTATTTTTTTAACTGTATGCAATTCGATCAAAAGTTTACAGAGCAGATTGATTTTCCGTGGAACAATCTTCAAACATTTTGTTTCAGGACATTGATTGCAATTCCCACAATGTAACAACACTCCTTACTGCCTTCTGAGCTTTATCTCTGGGTAAATGCTGCTCTTTTGATCTCCTGTGGTTGACAGTCTAAGGAGTGAACACCTCCCTGGGCTTACTGTTCACGTCATAGGGAGGCCTATTGTTTAGCTGACAGTGGATCCACAGGGGCTGAGTTCAGTTCCAGGCTTGATGGGTGACTACAGATCATAGTTTCAGAGGTTTTCCAAGTTGCTGTTAAACCAGCAGACCTGGTCTTTTAAAGATGTTTTTTTCAGTCCATTTCCCCCCTACTTTATGCAGGACCTTGCTATTGTGAACCTGCACAAAGTCTTGAGTTTTAAACAAAAGCTTGACTCAGTAACTCAATATAGGTAAATAAAATTAAGCAATACCTTTTGATTATGAATATTTTCAACAATCTGGGCAAAGTAAAAAAGGGTACACTTTCCCAATGTTCTTGACAGCTTTTCAATGCTCAAAGACATAGATATACAGCATCTAACTTGCGGAAACGCTTGTCGGCAAGTTGTTGCTGTTGCTAGATGCTGCCAGGCAGTTCCCGCTCAGCTACCCCGTGTACAACACAGGAGAACCCTGCACAGTTCTCTGCCATCCCCCAACTGTTCCCACGTTCGAACCAATGGTTGCTGCTCCTGGGTCAGTCCGTCTCCGAGACTTCCCCGCTTTTTGCTGGCCCTTTACTGTAACAAGCATGATGTCCTTCCCAGAAATTGATCCATTCTGTTGACATGTACCTTGTGAATTTGACTACTAGTTGAATTAACTAGTCTTCCCTGTATGGATTTTATACTACTATTGGCCACACAGTACTCAGGCTTGAACTTGAAATGACCTTCTTGACAATGAAGGTGGCGCCATTCCTCTTCAATTTGTCATTCCTGGCATAGTAAACCATTCTTCTCCACTGCCATTGAGCTGGTCATGACTCGTAGAGACCCCAAAGGGCAGATGAGACCTGACGCTGTGAGTTTCCAAGGCGACCAGTATTTACAGGAGTAGGCACTCACCTTTAACTGCCAACCCTGTGCTTAACAGCTGAACTCCTAACTCATTAGGCACCGGAGTTCCTTAAAAGCCACGTGATTATCCGATTCAACATGGTCAATAACAAGTCCATTTCAGTTCACTAGCGCCTAGGATATCAATCTTCATGCATTCCTTATCATTGTGATGACTTCCAATTTTCCTAGATTCATCCTTGGGAAACCGCATGTTCCAAATCACTGATAGATATTTGCCACTGTTCCTTCTCATTTTGAGGTGTGCAACATCAACAAATGAGGTCACCAAAAGCTGTTTCATCCACATCATGAAAGTCAACTCGACTCTGAGGCGGCAGCTCTTCCCCAGTTCTTTTTGGAATGCCGCCCATCTAAGGAGCTCACCTTCCAGCACTCCATCAGTCCACGTCCCATTGCTGTCCATCAAGTTCCTGGGGCTAATTTTCCAGGGTACACTGCCTCTTCCTCTTTCCTAGTCTTAATCTGGAAGTTCCCCGGAAACCTGTCGCCCAAGGGTGACCTGTTGGCATAGCTTCCAGCATTCACCCAGGCTACTACAGTATAATAAGAGGACAGGTGAATGGGGGTAGTATCAAGTAAGAATGTATGGTTTTCTTTACCTTATCCCACAAAAGATTTCGGGTAGCTATACATGCTGTATGCATGTATCACTTAACTCACATCTAGCAGGACAGCCCTGACCCCATCCTTCTTCAATATTCAAACCACCACAGCTTCATGGAGCTGATGCTTACCTTATTAGTTCAATGACAGGCTCCCACAGAGGACTGAAATTCACATATAACATGCCTAGTAAATAACGAAGCGGCACCTGCAACAACAAGGAGCTAGTTTAGTCACCGGGGAATGGGCTACAGCAGAAGAACTTAAACCGGAACACTGAAATATAAGCACCCTGGCTTGAGAAACCTGATGTTTGAAAAGAAGCTTGGGCTCCTAGAAAAGAAAGCTATAGTAGATTTCAGGCAGCCAAACCAAAAACCCAACTCACTGCCACTGAATTGATGTCGACCCCACACAAAGTAGAGTGGCGACAAAGTAGAACAGCCCCTGGGGGTTTCCGAGACTGTAACGCTTTATGAGAGTAGAAAGCATCCTCTTTCTTCTGCAGAGTGGCTAGTGGTTTTGAACTGCTGACCTTCGGGTAGCAGCCCAATGCATAACAGCTATACCATCGGGGCTCCTCAGAAACAAGCCAAGGACATAATAATGTCTCCTTCCCCCAAAATGTCACTCACTGTTTAACACAGAAAAAGCACTAATGCAAATAACAATATTCAAACTCACTACAGACATTTATACACAGAGGTTACATATAAATAAGTATATCTGGCTCAGGATTAAATCTCCTAACAAATGCTGTCATGCGCTGTCGAGATAAAACTTGAAAAGTCTTACACACTCAAGCACAGAGTTCAAGACTGTACACGAGGAATGGTAGCCAAGGCTTTGAAGACTCAGGCAGACATCTGAGGTCTCAAAACAAGGAGTTTTGAGTGAAGGAGTTCAGTTCGGAGGGCCTGAACTCTTTACAGCTTATTTCTAGGTCAATCACCTTTTGGAACGATAATCATTACTAGTAACAACTGAAAGCTCCAGGAAGGCATCAGGTAGAACAGCAATTTTATAGTGGAGTAGAGTGATGTGTTCGTATCTAGTTAGCAGCAAAGTCCAAACGAGTCGCAACAAAGGGGCCTACCAAGTAAAATAAAGGAGTCTGGTAGAAAGGAGAATGCCTCTGATCTCACCGATCCTCACTCTTTAAGGGGCTGTTATGCACCTTCAAGGTTACGGAGAGGAAGTAGAGGGCAGAATTCCTACAGCAGTGAACTAAGCAGAGGAAGAGCTTCAGACTGAAACCTTGATACCAAGTCCTCCTGTTGCCACTCCCTTCCTTCCTCCCTCACTTCGATTCAATGAGGCCCAGCTAACTCATCTGTAAAATGGGAACAGTCCTACCACCCTGCTGTGAGGATTAAATGAGATGACCAATGTAAAGGCAAGTGGTAAACAGTGAAGTACAAGGTACAAGTCATTATTTTCTGGGCTGCCATGCATGCGCTGTGTATAAACTCCTGCAATTAAAATTAATTCCTTGCTTTTACACGATTGCAAATAGACACTAGTTTATATCTCATCAATGGAGATAGTACATTATAGTAGTGAGATTCCAAACACTTGCATTTGGATCCTGGTTCTACCAGTTACTTGTTCCTGTATGATCTTAGACAAACTGCTAAGTTCTTTGTATTTTTGCTTTCTTCTCCGGAAGAGAGAGCCTACCTCACAGGCTCACAGTGAAAATGAAACGTTTATGTTAATACACATTAGGGCCTCCAAACTGGAAGACCTGCATTTAAATAATGTTGGTCGACCATGAGCACTGACCTCAATGGGAAGAATTCCAGGTAAATCTAGAATGGGAGACTTGGATGGGGAACAACGAGTCCTTTCTGGAGCCTGAGGTGCTGCACTGGATTACTGCCGGATTGTGGAGAGCGACACCGATTCAAAGTAGCCCAGTTTTCACCCCAGCTGGTCCAGAGATTTGGTTGCAGGGTAACAGGCATGCTGCCCTTATTTTTTAAGATCAAGATTAAGTGTCTACATGGACTTTGATCAGTAATTTTCCATTAGCGTCCTGGTTAAGCACATTCTGAATATTCAGGTCTGTTCCAGTGTCGCTTCAGAAGCCATGACCGAACTGGTTCGAAGCCTTGCTTAGAACAGAGGCTGGCATGTAAGTGTTCTCCCAGGGGTGACTAGTTTATGAGTCTGCCTTGGCCAAGAAGCACACAGAATGCACAGCGTTTCTGGAAGAGTACACAGCACTCACTTCTCTGGGGACACAGCACATGCCAAGTTGAAACCACAAACCACGAGGCCAGCAAAGGTGTGAGACCATCATATAAATACGGTCCCATTACAGAAAAAGAAACTAAGGCAAGGAGGCAACGTAACTAGCCCATGAATCCCAATTGTCTCTAGAATATACCACATTGCCTTTCTCTATTTTAAAGGCTCTCCCCAATCCCTTACCCATAATTCTTATACATCCAGTACTAGCCATTAAATACTGGCATTTCGAATGAAAAAATGCCCATGGACAATATTTTTAAAGCACTGCTCACCAGGTAGCTTGGGGTTTTAGGGATAAAGTAAAGTTATGTAAAAGGAAATAAAGAACACTCCATTCTCATTTTGGGTGCCCAACAGCTGCTTTTAAAAACAATGGCTGTTTTTATTACCATATCTATCATACAATACTTGTTGAAGTGATTTACATTTTAATTAGTTAATAATTAATTGATTTCCACCTTGGGGAACAATAGATAATTATATACAATTTCATGCAGTGGACTTAGATAATATGGGTCCAAGTCCCAATTCCAAAATAGCCCCTACTATATGACCCTGGGAGAATCACTTTCAAGATTCCCGAGTCTCAAATTCCATACCTATAAAATGTCCCTATTACTCTGGAAACCACCAAGTATCATGATGATGTAAGGCATTCTGAAAGGGCAACAGGACAACACTGGATTTTTATTTTTACAGCTAGACACGTGGTTTTAAGCTGCAAAATGCATGGGCACTGATAATAAGTATGTTCTGCTTTAGACAAAAGCACTAACCCATTAATATATATATTCAGCTCGTTCAGTGTGAATATTTACCATCAGCATTCCCTAGAAGCAGAACAATTCATTATTGTTTTATGCAATGAAAAATTGAAATTAATAAGCCACAAGAGCAGTGAAGAAGTTTTGATTTCCAAAGATATTTGGTTGGTTAAGTGATTGTTTGCTTTGAGATTATATTCAAAAGTGGACTGCAATTTGCCTAAAGCAAAACAAAAATACAGCACAGTGAAAATGGCATTAGAGTCACATTCTGCTTCTAGCCAGGCACCATCTAGTTCTTCTGGTCTCATGGCAAAGGAGCCAATTAACTATGCAATTCACTTCCTCCTCCTTTCCTTTTCCCTGACTCTTCTACTCTGGTGCTCGAAGCAAAGATATCAAATGCTATACTTTGGACAGTCACTAGCAAGCTTTTAAGACTCCAGGCACTATGTAATGAACAAGGAGGTCAAAAAGAGGCACTAAACACAAAATAAGTACAATTAACTGGGCTAGCCCATGAAACCATGACCCTAATTCTCCAAACCAAGACACCAAATCCCCTGGGGTATTTACTTCTTTTTACATAAGCAGCCTCAGCAGCTACTTTAAAAAACAATGACAGTTGTTGTTACTGTATCACACAGTATTTTAAGTATACATTATATATGTGTGTGTATCAATCATACTAATGGCAGAGCCTGATTTTTAAAATGTTTGTTTCTCATGGGAAGTAAAAGAGCATGCAGAATGGCAAATTAGGGTTAAAGATCATTATTTTATTCTTGAATTTGTTAGCAGCAAAGTAGATCTTATTACTTGTTTCATGGATATTAAATCCTAAATTGCAGCTACCACCCATTAGAAAATATAAATAAGTAAATAAATATCACCTAAACGATCATCTCCCATAACAGACATTTGTGTGGAGGGACTGACCATGTTTTCTCAGCCAGTCCATTCTCCATGGATTGACTAGGCAATTGGTTTTCTATGGGAAACCTAAAATCAACAACCTTTCCTAAGAACTAGAGTTATTTATTTTGCTTTAATAGCACATACTGATTTTTAAGTTATTTAAAAAAAAAAAAAACCCAGGAAAGAAAATTAGAAAAATGTATGCCACTAGGAGAGGAACAGAGTAACAGAGATTGACCAAAACAATTTCTTTAGTGTTTACCTACCATTTTAGAAACAAAGTCACTGAACATTTTCTATGGGGGCCAAGCCAAAGTATAATTCTCTTTTCTCAACAGTGTTTTAAATTCTAGACTATTGGCTAAAGTAATAACACTACTTATGTGTAGCTTGTAGGCATTGGGCTGCTAACTGTGAGGTGAGCAGTTCAAAACCACCAGCCAGCTCCAAGATGAAACTTTCTACTCCTACAAAGATTGACAGCCTTGAAAACACAAAGAGGCAGTTCTGCCCTGTCCTGTAGGGCTGCGGAGCTAGTACTGAATCGATGGCAGTGGAAGCGATGCCGGGGGGATGACTGACAACGTTCACTAACATAAAATGACAACAATGTCCCTAAGGTAAGCCAGAGACATATATAAACCACAGATAAATGGATTTGGGGCTTGCACTTAATTCTAGCCCTAATCTAAGAACAAATAATTCTTATGACATGGCCATGCTTGATGCTAGCCCTCACAAAAGAGATCAATAAAGATACGGGTGCTAGAGCGAAGTGTGGTGAAAAGTTTGCCTTAAAACCAGCTTCCTCTGGTTCTTAAATGCTTCCTCCCCGCCCCCACTATCATGATTCAAATTCTACCTTGCAAGTCTGGCTGGACCAGAGGATGTACACTGGTACAGATAGGAACTGGAAACACAGGGAATCCAGGGCGGATGATCCCTTCAAAAGGACCAGTGGTGTGAGTGGCGATACTGGAGT